ATCTATTATTTCTTTATTTCGCTAGCTATGGTTAGTGTATCTATCTATCTATCTATCTATCTATCTATCTATCTATCTATCTGTCTATCTGTCTATCTATCTATCTGTCTATCTGTCTATCTGTCTATCTGTCTCGATCTGTCGATCTGTCTCTGTCTGTCTGTCTGTCTGTCTGTCTGTCTGTCTATCTGTCTGTCTGTCTGTCTCTTTATCTATCTATCTATCTATCTATCTATCTATCTATCTATTTCTATTATCTATCTATCTATCTATCTATCTATCTATCTATCTATCTATCTATCTGTCTATCTGTCTATCTGTCGATCTGTCTATCTGTCTATCTCGTCTGTCTGTCTGTCTGTCTGTCTGTCTATCTGTCTGTCTGTCTGTCTCTTTATCTATCTATCTATCTATCTATCTATCTATTTCTCTCTCTCTCTCTCTCATTTTATCTTCCTGGCTCAAGCTGGTTCAGAATATTAACGTTGAAAAAACAATTTATGGGAGCTAATCATATACAGGGGTGACTAAAATAAAGGAAATCGCAAGAAGATAAAACAGCTTTAGCCTAAAACGAACTAAAAATGGAAACTTAAAGTTGTTCTAAAGAGAAGACATTTTTTTTACCTGAATCTATTCCCTGCACTAATGTAGAAAAATGTCCTGAGTTTTGTATGGTTCCCCCCTCCCAGTCCTAACTTGATCCAGCGCTGTGCCCGTTTGTGTAGTGGATCTCTCTTCTCTCTCCCTGCATTCACAGGACTCAGAGGCAGCAGAGGGAGCCACTGGCTCCTGCTACTGTCAATCAAATCCTGTGAGGAAGGAGTGGAGGGTGGGGCTGAGTGTGTGTCTGTGGATGCACACAGCCCAACTTGGGAGCGGCCTGCAGGTGCCCCCCATGGGAAGCAGCTTCCTATGGTGGTGTATTCAGAAGAGGAGAGAGTGGCAGCAGGGGACCCCAGAAGAGGAGGTTCAGGGCCGCTCTGTGCAATACCATTGCATAAAGCAAGTAAGTATAACATGTTTATTATTTCAGAAAAAAATGTAAACCTTTACAATCACTTTAGAAAAAGCATATCCATTGACAGGTTGACCATTTGGGACTCGGGCACTGCCCGAGGGCCCGGGGTCAGTAGGGGGCCCCATGAGATTCCCTTGGTACCTTTTCATAGGCTTTTTTTAAATGTGGGCAAGGACACAGGGGCCCCATGATCCCCTATTGCCCTGGGGCCCCTTGAGTTGTCAGTCCGCCCCTGAGCATATCTATCTATCTATCTATCTATCTATCTATCTATCTATATCTATATCTATCTATCTATCTATCTATCTATCTATCTATCTATCTATCTATCTATATCTATCTATCTATCTATCTATATCTATCTATCTATCTATCTATCTATCTATCTATCTATCTATCTACAGTATCTATCTATCTCTTGCTTGAATACAGCTGTTTATTATTATTATTATTATACAGGATTTATATGGCGCCAACAGTTTGCTCAGCGCTTTACAATATAACGGGAGGCAATACAGCAACAATACAGTTCAATACAAGAGGGATAGGAGGGCCCTGCTCCTCGGAGCTTACAATCTATACATTTGTCTAGTATATATTTTTTATCTTCCTGACTCAAGCTCAGAAACTTCACGCTGAAAAACGTAACATTTTGAAATACAATCCCCCCCCCCAAAATAAAAATTCGGAAATTGAGAAACTGCAAATATTTTAAAAGAGCTGATTGTATCCAAATATGACTAAAATAACAGTAATTGAGTCAGAAGATAAAATAGCTTCTAGCTTAAAACAAACCTAAAATAGAATATAAAATTAGAAAGTAAGAAGCTCTGTAGAAAAGGCAGCTTGTTTATGAAAAGTTGTATTAATGATACAATATAGAAAAGAGTTTTCCTTCAGAATCGGTCTCTGCAATGTCTGTATGTAAATGGTGTGTTGGCAGGAAGGGGGGAGCTGAGTTCAGGGAAGGGAACATCTGGATTCACTCAGAGAGGAGGGAGGAACAGGTACTCTCTAACTGTTTATTTAAAAAGTGTTAAACATGTTACATTGGAACAACATGATCACCTGCAGACAAGGGGCAAATTAGTAAACACACCACTGATGGCCCAGGGCTCTCACTATCCCGAGCACCCTGGTATTTATCAGGAGCAGGTATTCTTTTTATAAACATGGCTGTCCAGTGAAGGATAAAATCTAAATATTATTTATCATGGGAGAGTGTTTATGTTGGGTAATTGGACCGTAGTGCAGGTGCCTATCCAGGCATTGCCTGATAGTACTATGCACTGCTGAGGCTACAAACAGACGTAAGACACGGTGTGAAGAAACCTACGACATCGAGCGTTCATCTCATGCACTTAGATTTTTTTTTTTATGCCATCGATGTGCGATTTGATTAAAACGATCTAAACAGCACACAATCAAATAATTATAACTTCCTTTCTCATTGATTTATACTTGATTTAGATGGGATTCGATCACTCTGAGATGATTGTCCAGGATGGAATATTATTGAAACTTTTGCATCAATCTGCAGCAATAAGATACTGTATTTATGAATACGATCGTATTTCGATCAATCAGATTATGAGATTAAATGATGAAAACAGAGATGCAATCGAAAACTTACCGTCATAAATCATGATGCTATCCTAAAGCGGATGTTCACTCATGAGTTAACTACTTCCCGTCCGGTGATGTAAATAGACGGACAGGAGCAGCGCAGGAGTGGAAGGCTGTTTATAAACGTCCTCCTGCATTCCCTGCCTGTGCGCACTCCCTGGGAACACCGATCGCTGGACGGGACCTCTGTGTGAGACCCCAGTCATGTGATCACTGATTAGCCAATCAGTGATCACATGAATAGTAGTAAGCAAGATGTCACTTCTGACATCATTGCTTACCACTAGTGAAATCTGTGAATTATCACAGAGGTCACATGGTACAAGGCTATTCACAACAGCCTTGTGCGATGTGACAAGCTGTGACCAATCACAGCTCACACAGTATTTCTCAATGGCTGCAAGAATTCAGCCAAAGACAAGGAGAAATGATTGCCTTTATTGGTGTAAAAGCAATCCGTGTAAAAAAAAAAAATCTTCTCACCCCCCACCAGTAGTACAAGTGTCACTATGGTGACACTGTACTGCTAGGGTGGCAGTATGTTAAAAAAAACAAAAACAAACCATAAATAATAATATAAAAAAAAAATTAAAATCTAAAAACAATTTTTTTAAAAATTATAGTTTTTGGTTATAAACTAATTTGTGTTGTTATTTTTAACTAAAAAGATAGCTGAATACATTTTGGCCAAGATTTATGAAGAAAGATTATTTATTTGCAAAATTTTATAAGAAAAACACTTTTTTTTTCAAAATGTTTGGACTTTTTCATTTATATAGCAAAAAAAAATAAAAATCCCAGTGGTGAATAAATACCACCAAAATAAAGTTTGATCTGTCTAAAAAAAAAGCTAAAAAATTCATATGGGTACAGTGTTGCATGACCACGCAATTGTCATTCAAAATGTGACAGCACTGAAAATTGGCCTGGACAGGAACGGGGTGAAAAGTGTCTGGACCAGGGGCGGACTGACAACTCATGGGGCCCCCGGGCAATAGGGGATCATAGGGCCCCTGTGTCCTCGGTCACACTCAAACCACACTCAAAAAAGTCTATGAAAGGTACCAAGGGCATCTCATGGGGCCCCCTACTGACTCTGGGCCCTCGGGCAGTGCCCGAGCACCCGAATGGTCAGTCTGCCCCTGGTCCAGAGTTGAAGTGGTTAAAGTACTGCAACATCCTCCTCCCCTAACAAATTGAGCCTTTTTTTATGGGGAGTGTGTCCTGGTTGTGTGTGACATCACATCCGTTGACGTGTTTCGTCACTAAATCGACTTCCTCATAGGCAAGCCGATTTAGTGACAAAACGCGTCAGCCGGATGTGATGTCAGACACAACCGGAAGTACATCTTTGAAGCGGTTGTAATAGGTTGTTTGTACCTCTGATCCATTTTTGGATCACTCTATTGGAAGATCAAAGGAGAGAGAAATATTCCATGGCATACAGAACATTCTGGTGTAAGAGATTCTGGTGAGAAGACAGGAGGATTGGAGCACGAAGTAGTGCACTGTTGTTTACACACAAAAAAATGTATTCATGCTGACTTGTAAAATTGATGAAAGGTCCATTATAAACATATCCCACCTTCACTGTAAATAGCTGTTTATTCGATAACCTCTTGGAAGATTGACATTCCCAAACGTTATTAAAACCTCTTTCACCTAAACAGTTAAAGGATGTCATTTAGATATAATGGCCCTTTAATATATAAACACTGAAACATTGAGCTGCAGAAGTCTGCGGGCGTTCCCCTGTTTATAAGCCCCAGTGATAGCAGAGGGGTGCTCATTTCAAACATAACCGCTTAACCATTAATTGCATTTCACCTTCAGACCTCCGGCTGTTGGAGAGTCCTCCCGATTTTATTAGAAGCTTCTTACAGGGGGAGTTGGGAAATTCTGGCGTCTGTTATTTTAGTGATAATACTTTGAGCCTGTGTTTATTTAAAACGTGTGGCTGGTGGATGGGGAGCTAGTCACTGTAATGAGGGGCATGAAAGACGAAGGGGAAAGCAATGGATGGAGAGGGGAGGGCTGCCAGGGAATTGTACAGCTTTCTCTACAGCCTTGTTTCCTCCTCACTGACAGCCGGTAAAGCGGGGGTCCTTCAAATGCAAATCTCAAGGGTCACTAATGAGTTTCATAAGGCAGTTAGCGAAGTGCCAGGAGCATTCTCACATTCTGGAGTGGCCCTTACTGCTGTGTCCGAGACCTCCCATTTAGGCTTCTGTGCACAGATAGCATAGTTCTAACTGTCCTTTATTTGGAACTTATTTATTTCAGGTACTTATATAGCGCTGTGAATTTACACAGCACTTTACATATATACTGTACATTCACATCAGTCCCTGACCCCAAGGGGTGTACAATATTAGGTCCCTAACAGGGCGGACTGACATTTGGAAACTCGGGCACTGCCCGAGGACCCGGTTTCAGTAGGGGGCCCCATGAGATGCCCCTGGTACCTTTTTCATAGGCTTTTTTGAGTTTGGGCAAGGACACAGGGGCCCCATGATCCCCTATTGCCCGGGGGCCCCATGAGTTGTCAGTCTGCCCCTGGTCCCTAGCTAACATTTATACATACACATACTTGGACCAAATTAGACAGGATCCAATCAACCTACCAGCAGGAGCGGACTGACAACTCATGGGGCCCCTGGGCAATAGGGGATCACGGGGCCCCTGTGTCCTTGCCCAAACTCAAAAAAGCCTATGAAAAAGGTACCAGGGGCATCTTATGGGGCCCCCTACTGACCCCAGGCCCTCGGGCAGTGCCCGAGTTTCCAAATGGTCAGTCCACCCCTGCCTACCAGCATGTTTTTGGAGTGTGGGAGGAAACCGGAGTACCCGGAGGAAACCCACTCAGGCACAGGGAGACACATGCAAACTCCAGGCAGGTGGTGCTGTGGTTGGGATTATATATTGCAGCTTGCCTGTCCTTCGATATAGTGGCTGCATTCATTTTCTTTAGGCTTCTTATCTTTATTTTCACCTTGTGATCCAGCCAGTAATGTGCTTTGTGTCCTAGGGTGGCTACTTTCACTCAAGAAAGGTATCAGACCCACCGGGGAAAATATCTCGGTGTACCAACATCATGATATAGAAATTCATACCAATAAAATATAGCACCAACTGGGAGGGGGGAATTGGTTGGCAGAGTAGGGTGTGGAATGCAGCGCAACTAGAGATGGGCAGGGTGGGCATGTGCCCCTGGCACAGCATTGAGAGGGGCACCGCCAGCGAACCAAACAGCTCTATACTATGTACCAGCGGGCATTACTGCAGCGCCTACTTGATGGCTGTCATCTGTAGAGGAAGAGATGTCTCATCCAATCTTCTCCCCCTGTTGCTCCCTCAGCATAGGATCTCCTCAGCTTCACAAGCTCTACATTTTAACTGTTGCTACATCTTGACTTAAGTACTCTTTATCCAGTTTTCTATGTAATGTTTATTACAATTTTTGTTCCTAACCACAAACAGTCCTTTTGTTCCTTCTTCTCTACCAATTATCAAAGCCCTGATAAATGGGGCATTTGTTAGTCCCTGAAACGCATTGGATTTTATCATGTGAGAAAATTAACATTTTGAGGGGATACTCAACAAATAGTTTGGCACTCTAGTCTTCTCCTTTGTGGATTCTGTCCAAAGTGCCTCCTTGCCCTCCTTGTGTTCCTTCTGTGGACCTGGAGCTGCCTCTAGTGAGATAACTTTCCTCATCATAGACTTTCTCCATCAAAGTGAAATCCACCCCAGTGTTTGCATCCAGCACTTCCCACCTATAGTCCTAAAAAACATTTTTATAGCTGTCTGTGTTCTCCCTAGGTAGATTCAAGCTCTCTGTCTCTTCTCATGACCATGGTCGATAGGTCTTGCCATAGTCCATATTCATCTGGTTCAGCAGGGACTGTGTGAATGTCAGTTAGTGTGTGGCCATCCTTTTTCAACCAAAATCGATTGTTAGATTGTCTTCTGTCGAATGAACAAGCTGGAAAACTTTTGTCAATAAATCAGTGCATTCTGACAGCGCCAGGTAGGTCTAATGGAGACCCCAGTTCCAGTGACAACTGTCTATGGGGGGGCATTACCCTCACATTGTAGAGATATTTTTTTCACTTCCTTTTGCATCTCACAATGTGATAGATAAAAAAAATTACAGGGTTTTAACCCTATCCGTACTTTACCCAAAAAAGGGTTTTGCTTTTACATATACTTCAAGTGAACTTGCTGCTATGGTCTGAATGGACAAAGCATAGGTTCACTTCAGTATCATGTATGTTTTGTAACAGGGAAAAAGGAGTATCCAAAACTGTAAAATAGCAACTCTTAAAATGGAACTCCAGCCTGAACTTCAGTCTTGCACAGATGTGTGGACACCTCTTTTGTACTCAAATGGATTATTTTGGTTTCACTGCATACTGCCTTTCAGGGTGCATGAGAAACTGCAGCAAGGTAGATAGAGCCCAGGGGCAATTTGGGAACTCGGGCAGTGCCCGAGGGCCCGGGGTCAGAAGGGGGCCCCATGAGATGCCCCTGGTACCTTTCATTGGCTTTTTTGGGTGTGGTTTGAGTGTGGGCAAGGACACAGGGGCCCCATGATCCCCTATTGCCCGGGGGCCCCATGAGTTGTCAGTCCTCCCCTGATAGAGCCCACCTCATTTCCTGCTGGACGATATCCAGAACCAGCTATTTACTTACCCAGCTTTACTGTCCCTGGTCCACCCCTTTCATTAATTGGATTGCAATGGCTTCAATTATGGGTGCTCAGTATCTCATGTGGGCATTACTTTGGATGGCCTGCTGTATTCATGTTCAAAACTTCCCACCAGTTATGATCTGCCTGCATTACATAGAGAAGCACAGAGACCCTGTGATGGCATCATTAGGTCTAAAATAAAGTATGTGATAGAAATAGAAAGGTATTATTTAAAAATGTCAGCATTGTTATCCCTTGAAGGTGTACAAGAATGCAGTGGTGCCACTATGGGGGTGCGAGGGGTGCCGACCGCACCCAGGTGACACCCACCAGAAGGGTGACACCCATCAGCAGGGGCACCGTTAACACCGCACCAGTGACACTGGTCCGCATATGTCATTGGCTGTCTGGGTTACCATCTCTCTCCCCTGCTGTCTCACAGAGCAGAGCGGACCGATGCTGCCTCCCCCTCCTCGGTTGTTTACATGTACACAGGAGTGGAGGGGAGGGTGACACCATGTTTTACCGCATCGGTTGACACCAACCCTAGCGACGCCACTGCAAGTATGTGTAGTGTAACAAGGGTCTTACAGTATCTATATCTATAAGGTTGGTTTACTAAATGTGAATAGGCAGTTCACTTTGCAAGGGAACTGGCCTCAGAACTTGATGAATATAGTGAAGCTGCACGTTGCAAAGAATACCCAATCATGTGCAAGGAAAATAAAAAAAAACAGCATTCATGCTTGCACATGATTGGATGATGGAAGTCAGCAGAGCTTCACATTATTCACTAAGCTGTGGGGAAAATTCCCTTGCAAAGTAAAACTTCCTTTGCAAACTAAACAGCCTCTTTGCCTTTAGTAAATCAACCCCCCTATGTGCCATGATTATGTTTGTGTACATTATGTATTTTTTTTTATATGCAGGCAGTGTAAGTACTTGCATTTGACTTGGTATTTATGATAGACACAAACTAAATATACTTCAGTTAGGGTTAGGTTCTACTTTTCGAAATGCATGATATCTTTTTAGACATGGTTCTTTTAAAGGAATAAAATAGATCTGATTTTGTGATGGAGCAAAGAGGGGCTCTTATGTTTTTCATTGCCTTGTTCAGACTTTGTACCCAGGGGGTACAAGTCTATGTGTGGCCTTAGGCGAGAAGGAAGCAGTCAGAAACATTTCTTTCTGTGTACAATAAACGCCATGTCCCCCAGGCCTATCATATTACCGGCTGTGATACTCTTAGAGATATCGCCTCTTCAGGTGCTGTCAGATATAATGAGCAGGGTCAGAGATCAGCTCTGTGAAGAGCGGCATGTTGGGTAATCTGGGGAATTCGGGACATATCTTTGTACCTTCTTACAAGGTGATACAGACGAGAGAGGTCAGGCCAGAGGTCAGCCTGCTCACACCTTCATGCAGGTATTTATGTGGCCTTCTCATTTCCACCACCCTGGAGACGGAGGTCACTCATAAAAATAGCAAAGGAAAAGACTTTTCTAGAACTTGGAGAATTGTAGTGGAATGCAGTGATACTCTGAACAAACATATATTTAATTCCTACAAAAAGTGTGAAGCCATGGCATGACCTTAGGAGTGACGCACTTTTTCTGCTAATTGGAATACCTGATAAAATTGCAGCTAATTATTAAATAAAACTTTTGTTTGTTTCATTTGTTTCCTACACAGCCTTTTATGATATACATGAAATCCTCCTAAAATGGAATTGATACACCCCAACCACATTGTGGAGAGTGGTGATCAACCGGGTCCTACCCCTATACTCGTTATTTCCCCCTAAAAATCAATGAAATATGGGCCAATTGGATTGATGTGCATGGACTAATGCAGACCATAGACGGGGAGGAAACCGGACGTTTTTTTTTTTTTCATAAAAATGAAAAATCGGTCATTCAATCAGCCGACGTTACCACCATTGGTAGAAAAAAGTCAGCTGATTTTCATCCAGTCTACGGCCGGCAATTAATATAATAGCAGTGACCCTGCAGAGAGCTATATGAAAGAAGAAGAAATAGAAGAAATAGAATATGAATAAAAAGAAGAAATAGACTATGCAGAACAATAAATAGAATATGCAGAAGAGGAAGAAATAGAATATGAAGAAGAAGAAATAGAATATAAATAATAAGAAGAAAAAGTTGCAACATTGTATCTGTTTGTATCCATTTCGCATACAGATGTTTCTATTCAGATACAAATAGATACAATGTTGAAATACTTTTAAATGTCAAATATAATATCGGACTGAAATTCTTTTTTTTTCTTCTTCTTATTCATATTATATTTTTTCTTTTTCTTCTTCTTCATATTCTATTTCTTCTTCACTTCATATTCTATTTCTTCTTCACTTCATATTCTATTTCTTCCTCTTCTTTATATTCTATTTCTTCTTTTTATTCATATTCTATTTCTTCTTCTTATTCATATTCTATTTTTTCCTTTTCTACTTTTCCTGCTTCTTTCATGTCACTGCTCATGCGCATTTTTTAAAATCGGTAAAAAGATCGTCCGATTTGTCCATCATTGCCGCGAAAATCGGCAGAATGACAAATTTGGCCGATTATTTTCCAGCAGGACCGATAATTCAAAAGAGCAAAATTCACAAAAAACGGCCAACCGATTACCGCACTAACGATCCGAAAATCTGCCGATTTTTTTTTTGGGACGATTTTTTGGACAATTTTTGTCCCATCTATGGCCCGCATTACTATCTAGTTTTGCTTTGTAATACTGGTCTCTTAAGCCGGTCATAGATAGTTCAGCAGGGACCAGCCAAGATTCGATCCATCTATGGGCAGGCTGGTTGTACTGAAGTCGAT